AGCCCATGACGATATCCGGATTGGTATGAAGATCGGAGGAGTGGGCGGATCCGAGGTGTGATCAGTCCAGGAAGATATCTGGGCATACCGTCGGAATATGTGCTGAGACTCAAGATTCCCAAGATCTCTGACTCAGGCCTGCTGGTTGGAAACTAGTCGGATGATCGGCCCACGGTAGAAGGATTCGATTACAATGGGCTGATGATCTGAAGGTTCATGGCGTGAGCTCACAGGAGGAGGGTATTGGCTTGTTCCCAGGTGCGATCGTCGGTCTACGGGGTCGGAATGGGGGAGGAACTTACTTCAGCGTCCAGGAGATCTTATCTGTAAGCTTTGGCTTTTTGGGAAATAATTGACACCGGAAGTCTGACTCAGAGGAGTTGTTTTGTTTTATTTCACATTCATTTCTATGGATCTCAATCGCTATTCTTCTGATAGATGCCGATGGCAGAAGGTGCATCGACCAACCCCAAGACGCTATTGAGTTATCTGTCCAACCCATCAACCCCCATCTCCTTGGTTGTGGCTTGTGGACCATTCACATGGGATAATGATCTGGACTTTGTGCCGTTTGAAGCGTTCATCGATCAATTAATACTCGACCAGCCCGACTGTGTGATCCTCGTGAGTTTTCGTCTCGTCGCCTCTTGAATATTCTTCCGTACGCCACCATATGATTCCCCTCCTTCCCGAAACTAAAACAATCACCACCTTCATTCTTTTTTTTTTTTTCTAGCTGGGTCCATTCATAGATACTAATCACACCTTGATTAAAACCGGGAACATCACTCAAATGCCCAGCACGATTTTCCGCGAAAAGATCTCGAGTCGGCTGCATAAATTGGTTGCGAGTTCGCCACGGACGCATGTGATCCTGATCCCATCGCCGCGGGATCTACTGGCCAGTCAGGTAGTCTATCCACAAGCCGCCCTGAATATCAAAGATCCGGAACTCGGCTTGTTTGGAAGGAATATAGTCTGTTTGCCGAATCCTTCAATCATCAGCATCAATGAGGTCATCATCGGAATCAATAATGTCGACGTCCTGATGCCTCTTAAAAAAGAAGAGTTCTTTAAACAAGCTACCGTGGTCGTCGATGAGGAGACTGCTCAAGAGGGGACAGATCCTAACGCTACGAATGTTATTTGTAGAGCTTGTAGGCATGTGATGAGACAACGCAGGTAAGCCTCATCCCCGCCCATATCGACGGCCTTTGACATCTTAAAAACCAAAGCGACTACTCACTCCCAACACCTTCCTCCAGCTTTTATCCCCTTTTCCCACACGCGATCGGGATCGGAATGGATGCGATTAACCTGGATGTGACCCATCTAGACCTACTCAAACACGACACAGTCGGCGCGGATATCCTGATCCTACCCACGAACTTTACCGCATTCGTTAAGGTGAGTCACACTTCAGATCTGTATTCGAGGAATCATCCATTGGGCCTTCTTTTTCGTGCTCGAAAATAACAAACCAATAATGGTAAGGATGTCAAGTTACTGATACATCTTCCGGGACATCTAGTCGATCGATTCGACGGTCGTCGTTAACCCCAGACAACTGTGCAAATCTAGAGGCACAGGCACCTTCGCCCATCTCACCATCCATAGCTTCGATCACCAAAGTCTCGCAGCCGCTTTGGCCCAATCTAACGAAGATGAGGATGGAGTCGATCATGTCATCTTCGAGCGGTGTAGAGCTGATATCATCAAGCTGTAATCTCTCTCTCTCTCTCTCTTCTTCTTCTTCTTCAATCCTCTAACCGCTTCATTTTTTTTTTTTTTGCTGTTGTTGTCATGTTGACTTTTTTCTCAATAGTTTCCATTTTTTTTTAAATGTTTTCTTCTTTTTAAGTGTAATATTATTCATGTTTACGTTCAACTAACTACCGTTCCTAAACCTTGAGTTGTAAATGTGAAAATGAAGATGAGATCTGAGATTTTAGGTGTTTGACCAGCTTTTCATGACATCAGCCAGCACCAGACCAAACAAAAAACAGGATGGAATAGTGGTATTGATGGACGCAGTGTGACAAGTAAATTGACACGTGTGACTGGGAGAGCCTATGTAGAGGTATTCTCCTCAGCAGGCTGATTGGGGCGTACCTATTTCGCAGTGAGAAGATCTCCTTGCAACAGTCAACAGCTCTAAACTGGTAAAACCATGAAGGACCTCTCTTGGGAAAATTGAATTGGGGGGAGAGGGTGAGAAAGGCACCTGTGTGTATCAAATCTCACTAATAAACTCCGCTGTGCAAAATGTGCTTGACCTGCCAGGTTAAACACTCTCTAAACAAGTGGGTCTAATTCAGCTGTCAGTTTGTTGACCTGGAGCCTCGGATTAGGCCGAGATCGATGCGGTTGCCAGTTGGGTTAAGTTGCCCAAACCCATGGACTCAACTCAAGAAATGTGACTGCTTTTGTTTGCTCCAAGGGGCTGTTATCATAAAACTGCACATATTGACCTACTTTGGATCGAAATACAGCCATCCTAGAATTTAGAGATGTTGGTCACCTCTGAAGGAATCTCGGTGCTGATTCTTGAAAATTGATTAGAACCCAAATTCGCCATGTGGGATTTTTGCAACAAGCAGCTGTGCATTAGGCCATAAAGCTTCCACTGAATTTCAAGAACCAAGCCTTGGAGGCTGGAGCTGACAACCAACCATGCCTGGAACGGGGCTGAATGCACGGGTATCCAAGGACAAGCAAAAGGCACAAAAAATTGGATTTGTTAAACATCATAGCAGATGATCAGATTGGATCAAACCGCCAGGGAAGATCAACCTCTACGTATTGACTGGAGGAAACATTGGGCAAGCTCTAGCTAGAAACAACTGTGTAGCAGATAGATACAGATAAATATCTCATGTAAGACACGAGGACAACGATTAAGGGTCAAAGGAAGCAAAGATAGATTAAGGTACATTTTGATAAGTGAGTTATACAAATCCATGAACATGTACATATAGACTAGATTATTATGTATCCGAACAGATCATGGCTCAGAATCGTTAGCGATATCATCACGGATGTGATTATGAGAGATCCGGAGGAAAGAGGTAGTAGCACAGTCGAACTCGGCCAGCCAAAGTATCCGACCAGCGACGAGCGGCAGAAAGATGTTTTGAGTC